AGATTAGGACTATTCTATACCGGGATTCATGTTCACACGAAAGAGACTATTGCAAACTAAATTAGAATTTTAATTTACATGTTTCTTATTTTACACACTATATATAGGTGCATGCACACTTGATATTCATCAAACCATATAGACACTAATGTCCAAACTTTATAAGGTTATAAGGTATTTCTCCTACTTCCCTAGCGTGCGTTCGTGGTGTAACGAAGAGCGTTCGTGGTGTAACTGAGCCGGTATTCCAGAGGTCAGTGATTCGATTCCCGGCGAAGGTGGTTGCACATTTTTCCTCTTTTCTGCTTCCAAATAACCTAATGACTTATAAGACCAATTAATCTAATGACAAGGTCACTAAATCAGTTAATGAACTGACACATTATAATTTCTTGTCTACGCAATCCTACCTCAAAGTAGTCAACATTTTCATTTTATTACTAAATCTTTATTTTCCTCTTCCTTTTTATCTACTAGCAGCTGTTAAATGTCTGCCTCAAGAACGCCCTCATTTAATGAAGTTCTACACCGTTCATTTATTTTTATCTTTCTCCATCAATAAATATTTTAATCTACTCTTCACGATTATTTCTCAGACCTTTAAACTAAAGGAATACCTTAAAAAAAATCTCCTCTTCACCGGCAATTTTTTTAAAATTTTAATATCAATGATTATATTTGTGCAGACTTTAACTAGCCTTAAGCTTTTAACTTCATTCTTAATTTTAGCAATAAAGCTCATTGTTTCATAAATTGATTTTCACTAAAATCTAAACTATTTCGCCTTCATAAAGTATCAGTCTGAAAAAATGTTTTATAATCTATCCTAGACTTATCAGCAAATGTATAATTTGCTTGCAGATCATCAAAGTGTCAGATTATGCATTAATCGTACGTGCATTATTCAGAAACGGTTTTATGCATCATGATAGAAATGTCGTTCTTGCAATACATTTTAGTTTAAAAGGTAAGATGATTCAAAATGCACTTACGGAATCATTTGATAATTTAGAATTGTTATTACGGTAAAGCGTAAGCTTTATGCATCTTATACTTTCTCCATTTATGCCGTATTTCGAAACTTTAAATGCTACATATAAAAAACGATCTGAAAGCATCTCAATTACTGCATTAAAAAACAGTACATGATTATTATGAGTTAAGCCGGGGCGTAAATTTATTGCTATATTTTTATTTGGAATGTATAAAATATATAACTGTAATACAATTTTTAAATTAAAAGCATCGGAGTATAAGTAGTTTTTAAAAAATGTAAAATTCAAGATTACATTAGAAATAATAATGGTTCAATGCTTTCGAGATATTAACTCACCATCATCATAATATATTGAACATTATAGTTCCATATATACATTGTTATTACAGTTGAAATTAATGTGTCTATAAAAGTTAAGGATCATCTTTCTTTTTTTATTTCCATTTATTTCCAAAGATCAGAGGATGGAGTGCATTTTTGGATTTATAACTAATGTATATTCTTTTAAGGCATTCTTCAGTTTTGAATTTGTTAATAACTCTTGCACTAGCTGATTTTATAAAATCATTTCACTATTGCATAGTTACACATTTATTATTTTCGCAAGAGAATATAATTTAGTAGCACAAACTGAGTTCCATATTTAAATTTAGTTTAACAAAACCATTTCACAATTGGCTAATGCGTATGTTGATATAAGAAATAGGAAAAGAAAGGATGATTTTTATGAATACCAAGTACCACAAACATAAATTTCCGAACTTTCTCAATATTCTGGAGATGTTCCTACAGAATATCATTTTCGTGTCTTCGTTTTCATGTTTTTAAGACGTTAACGATTTTGTGATATTCTAAAAATTTTTAAGATACATTTAAAATAATGTTTCCTGCTGTTAGTTTACCCTGCAGTGTCAAGATCCTTATGTTGTTTAATATTCCCTTAAGGGTCTGTGTAGAATGTTTTAAGCCTAAAAATTATTTATTTCTTACTAATTGGTTTATTTAATTCCTAAATGCAATTCATACATACTTACATACTGATTGATTTGCTCAATATATTTTAATAGTCCGTAAATCCTCTGTAAGAATTTTTTATTTGTTCTTCTCTAATTTGTCTTCCTAAAATATATACCCGTGTTTTAGCCCATATGCAGATCCCTAGTTACAGATGGGTTAGAGGGTTGAAACATTAGGACGCTATATTCATTAAGTTGTAGAAACAGTAGGTTTTTTTTTTTTTTTTTTTTTTAGCAGAAAAGATGAAAAATGAGCAACACCTTCGCCGGGAATCGAAACACGGACGAATCGAAACACTTCGCCGGGAATCGAAACTCTGGATACGCGCCCAGCATGCAGATTACTACACCACGAAGGCGGGAGAAATACCTTATATACTTTTAAAGGGCGATTGGGGCTTTTTAGGACCCAATCGCCAAATCCTGGGTGTGAATAATCATCATCCACCACCCTTTTAGTTCGAGCGTCGAGATCACGCTTTGAGAGTGTTTCTAGTTACACTGCGAAGGACGCGGAAAGGCGGGATAAAATACCTTATATATTGCCACTTCTAAAGAGCGAGTGCTGATTAGAGGTCCCACTCGCCAAGTCCTAGTGGCGACGAATTATGGTCCACCACATTTTAGTTCGGGAGCAATGTACATTTTTGTAGAATGCTTTCGAAGTCAGGAAGCTGAAGAAATCCGCAGTGCCTTTGCCAGAATTTAAACTCCGGACTACATATCGAGTACATATAGAGAGTGTATAGTTACATAACGAAAGTGAACAGTTATGGCACCAAGGCTTCAGGAAAGGAGGGCGAAAATTCCTTATTAGTCTGCATCTTTACATTTCATTTCAACGCCTTCGCCTTATCATCATAAGTCTAAAAGGCTTGAACGCTTCGTTAATTTTATACGTAGTTCGTGATTAAATTTTTATATATGCTGTAGATCTCAAGAATAAATAATTTGACCACCTCTAGTAAATATTATTTTATCAATGCAAATTATGAACAAATTCAGTTAGAGAAACTGAAGAAAACATGAAATATTTTATAAACTGCCCTCATTTTAGAAAAAAAAATAGCTACGATACAATAACGTACAGTAAAGTTAAAACGTACTTTGTCTACACTTAAACAGGAAATTTTAATTCGGAACTTGTTTTAAAACGCTTTAAATTTTAAATGATGCAGTTAAAGAGCACTTTTTTTAATTCAAAAAATAAGACATCGCCCATTTTATATAGACGCTGATTTTGTTAAAAGCTGTAATCATTTTAGGAGAATGGCAATAATTTTTGTTCAAGAACTAGTTTTATTTGATTTACTTAATTATGACAAAGTACGCAAAGGCTATCTGCCTAAAAGGACGTGTGCTTTCGTGGAGGAATTTCTAAGGGAAATTGGTAAATTGGCTCGTATACATGTTACACATGGCGAAAACCACGAAAACACCCAATCAAATGTCTGGAATCGAACCCGGATCGAAACTATCAGTGTTCAGCGTCTATATCGCTCTGCCACTAGAGGGTTTTTCGCTCAAGGAGCAAATATTGTGCAATACAATAATTATTAGCGAGATATTTGTCCACCACTGGCTGAAGAGACCGAAGTGCTGTGTATTAGTAGTTAGATCCTGGCTGGAACGCTAGCAGATGTGTTGGCTGATTCAGTGTCCTGATGGCTTTCCTGATATATAATATAAACTTGAGCTTGCTTTGTCAGTTTTACCGAGCAGTTCCAGACAGAGGTAAAAATATAATTGTAATAAGAGAAAAGAATGTATATTGTATTTTTTGGCATATTTCCAATTTAGGAGCAATTTTCAGAACCTTCGTAGCTAATTGGCTTACACGCTTTTACTAAAGAACAGATCTGTAATATACATTCATAAATTAATCATTAGAATGTCAGCAAGTAATTTTAAATAATTATGTAAAGACATTAAGATTATTTGGAGGCAGGCAAGATGAACAATTTCGATTCCCACGAACCTCTGGAATACCGGCAAAGCGTGCAGAACCACTACGCCACGAATGCACGCTAGGAAAGCGGGAGAAATACCTTATATACTCCCCTTTTTTAAAGGGCAACTGGGGTTTTTAAGGAACCCAATCGCCAAATCCTGTGTGTGGAGAGTCATCATCTCCAACCCTTTTAGTTAGAGCGCCACTGTAGAGACATTAGGATTATTTAGAGGCAGGCAAGTTGAAAAATTGGCAATTGCCTTTGTCGGGAACCGAACCACGGACCTCTGGAATACCGGCCCAGCGTGCAGAACCACTACACCACGAAGGCACGCTAGGAAAGCGGGAGACATACCTTATAATTATTTAAAATTTTTAAATAAATATGTTTTAATTTCCGTAGTTCTGAATTAAAATGATCTAAAAGGTTTCTAAAAAATTGTTAGAATAAAATTAATAAATATCTTAATATAGTTTATCAATTATTTTTTATGACGCAAATAATTTTGAAAATCAGCACTTTAATTAATAATTGAAATATTTGAATTATTATGTAAAATATGAAAAGTAATTTACATTTTCCCTGTTCTAAATGTTCTCAACTTTGGAATACTGGATCATAAGTTAATAGAAGATTGAAAGCATAAAATTCTGAATAGATTTCTTTAGTTTGTTGGATTACAAGTGACTCTAAAATGATTAATGCTAATTTCATCAGCCCTCGTAATGCGTCTTTAACTACTAGAGACGAAATTAGTTTATTTTTATTTTATTTGTATAATATTGGCACAGTAGCGATTAATCATTTTTATAATTATACTTTTCTTTTGTCGTTATTCTTCACTGCATCTTAGAAAATAATTTTTTTCTCAGATTTTATTTGCATTAGAATCTTGCAGCTTTCATTTAAAGTATATTATTCTTCGGTTCAATGCTTTCTGGCAAATTTTAGTTCATTGATTCAATTGATTGCATTTAACTTTTAATCGTAAGTGTGAATAAAAACTTTAAAAATGAATATCGTATTTTTATTTAGGTACGAGGAAACGAAATGAATCAAAGAAAAGGAAGAATGCAGTAATTGATTTAATATATACGCATTCTTCTATTCAAGTGCCACTGTACAGCGTAAAAACGTCAAGATATAATTCTCATGTCTGGTGGTAATATTTTTATTGTAATGTTTGATATGCCAATGTAATAAATTTCAATTCGTAGTAGAGCTTGTACATATAATTCTCATGTCTGGTAAATACGGCATAGCAAAGGAATGCTTTCTATATGCCCAAACTGAGCGATGTCTTTATGGAGTATTTTCTAAGGGAAACTGGGTCGTATCCATACTACCCATGGAAGAGCCATGAAGCTGTTTTATCGTAGGAGCTCGAATCCAAATCATGGGAATCATTCAAATCCAAAGCATTCAAATCATGGAAATTTAAACTAGTGTCCCGTGATTTGAAGTAACGATAGGATATCTCAATCATGTAGAAATTTGAGGAATTCAGTCTTTTGAATGCAATCATTATTACTCTAATTAGACGAACTCTCTTCCTGCGTTTGTAGGAAATTATTTTTATTTTTCCTATTTTTTGCCATTTTATAACCTAAAATTATAAAATACGATATATATATGTAAAACTCTACTTTAATTACATAATTTCAGTTAAATACAGTAAAATGTAAAATTAATTTCCTTAACCCTCATAAAATTTCTTCCTCCCGCATTTTGGAAAGAGGTTGCCCTCAAGGCTCGGTTTCCGGACCTTTATTGTGGAATTTAATTATGAATGATCTACTCATAGACTCTCACATTGTCCGAGTTGTAAACAATTGCTTTTGCTGATGATCTACAATTTGCTTTCAAGAGAAGTGTCCCATTACTCTCTTTTTAAACGGGCTCAAAACACCCTTACTATTATTTCCAATTGGTCCAGAAAGAAATTGGAAGTCAATCCTAATAAATCAAAGTTATGATAATTAAAGACATGTCACTATACAAACCAACAACTTGTACTTGGATAATACCTTACGAAACGGTGAAAATTAATATTTTGGCGTTTTCTTGATCATAAGTTTTGTTGGAAAATTCATATTATGTATTTATCCAATAAGTGTGAAAATATACTTAGAGGACTTAATCGTGTCTCTTGCAATACTTTGTGTTTTGGTTTAAAAGTTTAATGTTATTGATATGATTTATAAGCAGGGTATTGTCCCCTTTATTTGCTATGCTTCTAGAGTGTGGGGGAACAGCTTTAGAAAAGAAGATTAATACCCGTATACTTCGCAGAATTCAAAGAAGAATTTTACTAAGAGTTGTGCGTGGCTACAGAACAATTAGCTATGAAGCCTGTTTCGCAATTTCAGGATTTCCTCCGATTGACCTCATGTTTTGAATGACAAAAAGTTTAAAGATACCATCAGCAAATTTATGTTCGATGCCAAGGTGTTTTTGAAGATCTTACTCATCCTGCCAATCGTTTGCCAATTCAAACTATCATTTATGACAATTCTGTTGATGATAATTTTCCCTGTTGTGTGTTATACAGATGGCAGTAAAATTAATAATCGAGTTGGATTAGCTTATGTCGTTTTCCATAATGATTCTGAACTGGAATACCAAACTCTTTAGAATTCCCAACGAATGCAGTGTTTTCCAAGCCGAATTACTGTGCATTAGTGAGTCAATTAAGTGGATATCTAACAACTGTTCGCTGAGTGCTAATTTCTTATTCGCACTGATTCTCTTTCATCCTTATTTCTCTTAGGAATATCTTCTCATATAATAAAATTAATTGTGACTTCCCATGCTCTTCTTAAAGACCTTAATAATAAAGGTGTTGATGTTATCTTTTCTCATGTACGTGGCCACACTGGCAATCTAGGAAATGAACGGGCTGATTGGTTGGCAAAACAAGCTACACATCTTCAAGTAATTACTCCAATGATACTTCCTAAGTCATTTTACAAGAACAAAAGTAGGGATGATACAATACTCGAGTGGAATAAACTATACAGGAATTCTACTACTGCCTCTTTGACTAAACTATATTTTCCTTCCATTCCTCACAGACTGAATAATAAACACTTTTTCTGCAATTTTGAAGTTACTCAATTTCTAACTGGACATGGTAAATTCAATTCATATCTGAAGAGATTTAGATTATTCTAGTACAGACTTGTGTTCATGCAGTTTCGGGGGAGTGCAAAATGTCGAACATTTGTTGTTCTATTGTTCAAAGCTCAAGGAAGGATGAAAGGAACTCATTTTTCTAAGTTAAACTCTGTGAATATTTCATTTCCTCCCCCTCTTCATGTTTTTGTTGAACATAAAATGGCTTTCTCTTTTTTCTGTAAATTTATCTCTTACGTATCATCTGTGAATTTGTAAGTTTATTTTATTTTGTGTTGTGTTGTTGTATTTGTTTTTTTTTTTTACTTACCTCTGTAAGCCTTGTGTAATACTATGTGGTGCACAAGGATTTAAAATTTTCAATAAAAAAAAAACCCTCATAAAATTCTTGATCACATGCGATTAAACCTAAAATCCTTGTCAGCACATCTGCGAAATGTATCGGAAAGATGCTGTATATAAGCACATATTCAATTCGTAATATGTACATATATAAGGTTCTTTTAACTGAAACTGCAGGATTCTTCTTTGGAATTGCATCCTAGAATTCCAGAAAGGAAATTTGCGAGACGAATAACTGAATGAGTTATGCAAAATGCAAATGATTACTATCGCAGCAAGTATGAAAATATTATTTGCATGCAACTTCACCAAACTCTAAGTTATGAAAGATTGTCTTATAAAAAAGTATCTACATATTCTGCAGGAGAGTATGACTAATTTTAAGCTACTGGTATACATTTCAACTCTCCGGGGTTATCCTCGATGAACAGGATGGGTGTACGGTTAGTTTTCTTGGATTTCTTCAAGTTTACTACAACACATTGTTTGTTTTACATGATGTCAGCGACTCCTAGATTACTCAAAATAACTACTCTTCTACTCATTTTATGTCTTTGTTTCTCTTTACTTCTATAAGTAACGTAAGCATAGGAAAGAGCCCAACTTTGTTTACCGATCTTGGTCTTCCCTATATGCAAAGTGAATACTCTCCACTTTTCTCTAAAACTTCCTCCACAAAGGTATGCCCTTTCTTAGGCAGATAGGCAATGCGTGCTTAGGCAGATAGCCATTGTGTGCAGATAGCCGTGCATGTTTATTCGAATAAACAATCTCCCCTCTCCCTTTTTTAATATATGAGCAGCTCAAAAAATACATAATAACATTTACAGCATGTGGCTTTATAAATGGTTATCAAGAATCTTCATTTAGAATATCCTTAGGAAATAACCATTTTTTTTATTTGAAAACATACAGACTCCCCGTGCATCACATATGTACAACACAGGGCTTACAGAAGTAAGTTAACTAAAACATTAAAAGTTACATGCATAAATAAAACGAACAAAAGCAGAGAACAGCAGTCTGGACTTCACAAAAACAAATTATAAGTTCACTGGCCAAGTCACTCCGAACATTTTAAAATCGTTCTGCAAGCTTTAAATTTACCATCAAATGTAGGACATGAGAAAATCAAATGTTCCACATCCTGAGGTACTCTTTTTGAACATTCACATAAATTGTTTGATCTTATATTAAAACGAAACACGTAACTTGCAAATTTAGCATGACCAAATAAAAACTGAGAAGCTTTAAAATTTATAGAGAGGAAAGTCTCGGATTGCAGTCTATGCTAAATAGAAGGAAAGAACTTTTTTGTAACCTTATAAGGTATTTCTCCCACTTTTCTAGCGTCCTTCGAGTGTAGTGGTTCTGCACGCTGGGCCGGTATTCCAGAGGTTCGATTCCCGGCGAAGGCGGTTGCTAATTGTTCCTCTTTTCTGCTTCCAATTAACCTAATGACTCTACTATCTCAACATTACAAGCTAAAATATATTCTTCATTCCACTTAGTTAAAAGTTTCTTATAATGAAAGGACTTCCACTAGCTGTTTGAAATGTTAATGTTGATATCAATGGGTAAATTTAAGACATCTTTAGCTGCGAAAGCAGCTCTTTTATTTCCATAGAAACCGCGATGAGCACACACATAAGTAAAGCAGATATCAATTCCTCTATTTCTAAGTGAACTGACAATTAATAGGGTTTCGATAATAAATTTGTCGCAGCTGTTCAAAAGCTGAATAGAAGAAAGAGAATCAGTACAAATAAGATGCCTTGAGGATGCTGTCCCGTTATCCTTCATTTGACGGCAAGATAAATACACAAAAGTTCTGCTTAAAAAACTGTGCATTCATTTCGAATACGGTGTCTAAAATAACAAACTTCAGAATGACTTACAAAAAGGACAAATGCAAGGCGAACCTTGTTGTTCATCTTGCTGCCATCTGTAAATAAAAACATATGAAGACTCATTTCAGTAGTATCCTTATAATCGCAGAAATGTATGGGCTCAAAAATGGAGGAATGAGAAAGATCAGTGAAAGGGACAATTCCATTTATGCAGTCTTCCAAAGTATCAGTTGCCAATGACTCGAAAATATTATTCTTGCATGCAGTTTCAAAATCAATAGGCGGAACTCCTGCAAGAACAAAAGTAGCCTCATAGCTTAAAGTTCTTTAACCACTAATAATGCGAAGAAAAATTCTGCGTTGAATTTTTCTCAACTTTCTTGTGTTACTCTTCTTTGCAAGCACATGTTCCCAAGCACGACAGCCGTACGAAATAAAAGGTACAATAACAAATAACCATTAACTGCAATATATGTCAGCAAATTAATCATACAGTTAGATGCAAAGCAATGAAGGATAATAACATATCTCAAGGAGGACAACTAGCTTACCATTCATTCCTTAAACCTTTCTTGATCCTACATCATAGATGTCAAAACTTTCAGTGGCACTTAGAAGGAAGATACTGAAATCCTACATGTCAGAAAACACCATTTTTTTTGACGAATTTAGATTCAGTGCTGTGCACCATGATACTTACATACTTGATCTTAGATACTTTGAGGAACATCATCTGTAGGAATACATTTCACAGCTTCACATCCGCTCTATCCCAGTGGGATACTTGCGAGTGTTATTGCTTTTCATTAGCTATT